GAGTGTAAATTGTCAAAAATGTATTTTTATCAGTGTATAATTTTAATCTATAACACAATAAATATAAATAAAAATAAATAATTACTTTCTGAAGCCATCTTCAATATCTTTGTTATATTGCAAATGTGTCAATTATCCTACAGTGGAATCTAGAGGGCAATTCTTCTATCTTCAGGCCTTGTCTTTCTTTCTTGCCCAGTGTTGTTAAAATCCGCACCGCACATCTTCCACGCCCCGCTGATCTGAGGTTATAAGATGCATTTTTCAAAACGGTATGGCTCATTTCAAAGACGTGGAGGCTCCTTGTGCAGGTCCAACCCAGGATGGTAGCGAACCTGCTAGACCCAACAGGCCATGTTCTGTAGCACAGAAAGACTGTGACAAACAATGAGGCAAAACCAGGGTTAACATCGGTTTGGCATGTGAGAGATGGAGAGCATTAAGAGCATCCAAAGGACTAAAATTTGACATGGATGTGGCCTTGTTCCTGCTAGACGCATAATACTGTAGCTGGCTAACGTGTATATGTTGGCATCATTAGCAAGCTAACGTCTGCATTTCATTTGAATTATTCTAGTTGTAATTTTGAGTCATAGTATTTTGTTGTCCAGTTAGCAGAAACCTGCTTGTTTTCCTGGATTAGCAAATGAATTAATTTGGCAAATGTTTGCTCTGTTTTAGTCCAGTCTATGTCAGACATAACACATCCACTCTAGTCCAAATGGAACATGAAATTTCTTGTTTCACATACAACTCACAATTATTTGTGTCAAGTATGTAACATTGAACGTGATGTGATAGTGGTCAGAACATTAGTCCTGTATCTGTATTACTGGGAAATAAACATTTCTCTGTTTAATTTGCTTGCATTACTGCAAATACATCTACTACAAAACAACATTAGACATACGTATGAATATCGCTAAAATGTAAACCCCTTTATTTGACATTGTGTTGCTGCAAAAACGCAGAAAATCATAGGCTCTATATTCCATATACTTTAGTTGGAGCCAGTTATTACTGCTGCGCTACCTGACCGCTACAACTGTCTCCAGCTGTCGTGACCACATATAATGTCTTTTAAGAGACGGCAGGAGGGGAGAAGAGGAGTGGAGGGACTGTCTTTTAAGAGAGGGCAGGAGGGGAGAAGAGGAGTGGAGGGAGAAGAAGAGGGGATACTGTTTGTGTTTGTTTTCCCTTCAAGGTCAGAAATTAGAGGGAGAAGTTAGTTAATACAGCTTTAAATGATCAAAGCCATATAAACTATACAGTACAAGAAGGTGAATACTAAAGTGTCTTTTCTGAATTATGGTCATTTGTAGTCAGTGGGGACATGAACCTGGTCTTTAATTGAATGCCTATAACATGTAGCATTATTATATTTTCACTTTTTTAGTAAAGAGACAGGAGATTGTACCTGCTTTGAATCACCATCAACCGTGTAGCTGACATGAGTGTAGTGAGGTGTAGTGGGATAGTAGTGTGCCTCAAATTATATAGCTTTGGAGATCCATGCATGTATTTATCTGTTGTGCATGCAGAAACACAAACACATTCAGAAATACATTCAGCTCATGCTTAAAAAAAAGTCACTTCTACATTTGTTGTACTAGACAAAAATTCTTCCTGCTGTCTATCCATCAATATAAAGATGAAAATCAGCTATTGCAAGTGTTTTCAGTATGTTCAATGCCATTTTTTATATTCCCTATGTATTATCATAATAATTATCATCTGTAAGTGTAGAGACTAAATGCAAACCTCACTGCAGTGAAAACTTGACAATATCAAATTGGAGTAAAATGGACTTAAAGTGTTAGATTATGTGTTTGCTACATTATGATGAATGTGCTCTCACTTTATGTTAAAAGCCTGAGCCTGACTTGCAGAATAGTCGTAATCAACTCTGTGTTTTTCCGTGTTTCTTGATTTGACTTTTATTGATGTAGATTTTTTATGGCATCTACTCTCTAACTACTTAACTTTAAATCTGCCTCGGCCTTGGCCTTTATCATCTGATAAATGTTTTTCCTCTGAGTGCACGTCAAATCCCCTTACAAGAATTCCATGGCTTTTACCAAAGGCCATTGCACCAGGAAGTAATCTAATAATGAATACAACAACAGTTTACACACTGCCTGCCTTTGTACCCATAATATAAACAATGGAACTGCAAGCACCCAGACCTCCTCTAATGGACTACCAGAGCAAACACGTTCATTTAATCACAAGCCTTTCTTTCAAAGCAAACTGGCCAAGCAGCAGAGGATGAGAGGCTAATGACCCATGAGCAATAAGCAAGTGTTAGACTGAATGTGCTTTCACAACAAGAAGAAAGCTTTTACGGAATAGCGTATCAATATTTTAAAGCAAAGTCTCTGTGGCGTCTCCCACTAACTGGATTAGCTGTTTGATATGTTCTGACAGTATGTTGTTACTGGTACTGCATTTGCTTTGTCTGTCATCTGGTTTTCCCTTGGTAATCTACAGAGCACCGTTATATTTCATAATTTGTTTTGCTATCAGGGCTGATTTGTAAATCTGCAAATTCTAATTAGCCATAGCTACTGTTTCTAATTTATTAAATATTAAATGATTCCTGTGGTGGAGTGTTTCTTTGCATCCCCAGATGAAAGTTTGTGGTATGCACATTCAATGGCCTTTTAGATGTCAGCAGTTTTTTTTAAATGTCCCATTTTGCGAGTGAAGACATTTTTTTCCTTTATTTATTTATTTTTTGATGTGTTTGTGTTTGGAACAGAAGTTATACACCCTGTCAGGCTCTAGTACACAGTGGTACTAGAACTTCATTGTCTTAATAATCTCCTTTGGTCATTTACAACCAGCAAAGCCATCTGATTATAACCCAGGTTACACAGGGCACAGACATGTTTTTCTCATCTATGAGTCTGTATGGTTCTGCAGTTTATAAACCAGGGCCTTGTTTGCTGATAGTCACTAATCTTAGAAGTTAAGTGTGTTTTTATGAACACAGCTTTTTACACGTTTCCTGTCCACGAGTATGCTGTTACGATTTTTTTAATAGCTCCCTCTTGTGCTGAAGTGAATTCAAAATACATTTTAAAGTGTAATGGAATTTAACTGTCAGTAGTACAACAGTAGGCAGCATGGTGGCGCAGTGGTTAGCACCATTACCTCACAGCGAGAAGGTTCTGGGTTCGGGCCCCACCTGGGACCTTTCTGTGTGGAGTTTGCATGTTCTCCCCGTGCTTGCGTGGGTTCTGTCCGGGTACTCCGGCTTCCTCCCACAGTCCAAAGACATGCAGCTTAGGTTGATTGGTGTCTCTAAATTGCCCATAGGAGTGCGTGTGTGTGGTTGTTCGTCTCTGTGTTAGCCCTGCGATAGATTGGTGACCTGTCTAGGGTGTACCCCGCCTTCGCCCGATTGCCGGCCGGGATTGGCTCCGCCGACCCCGTTCAGGGATTAAGCGGTAGAAAATGAGTAGTACAACAGTATATATTAATACATGCATAAATCACAGAGTAAAGAAATGTTTTTTAATTGAAATAATTCAGTATAAAAATGACCTTTTATGTGTAGTGAACTGTTGAAAGCTTAGATTCATGTTACAGTGTGAAAGTAAGTTAAAGGAAGAAAACTGATTGATTTAGCTGCCGAGTGAAAGTTTCATAAACATGACATCCATTGTGAATGTGTGAATATCCTTCTGTGAACATTTCTAGATTAGGCCAATTATATATAATAATGTGTATATACTCTATATCTGGACAAATTGTGGATTAAAAAAAATGAATGTTAGATTTTTTTATTTTTACAAACAATCTTGATACAGATCTCTTAGATTTTTTTAAATATTGTGACCAAACTACATACTGAGTGGGACATTTTACAGTCAAAACGTCATTCTTGTTACTCATCAGCAGACAGCAGGCTGATATCAGATGATTTACTGGACCAGCTCCATGGGAAAACACCATGCACATTATAAATGTTTGGGGGTTGGGGTTGGGGTTGGGGAGTGGGACAGTCTGGGAATCTGGTAAGAGAAATGATCTGTAGTTGTAATGGCATTATGATGCAATATATCAAATTAATTGTCATGCATGTACCTGTGAATGAATGCTAAAATGCATTAAAGAAATAGCAAAAAAGATAATGGAAACTGAAAACAGGACATTAGGAAAGAGGAGTGGAGGAAGATGATGACTGGAAGATTAACTGTGCAAATTAAATGGTTATTTATTTTCCATATGTTCATGAAGTACATGTTTAAAAAGAATAAAACATTTCAGTAAAGTGTAACACCTTCATTTCCTGCTGCAGGTCCTGGACTTGTTAGTCTACAGTGCTTTCTATGAGCAGGTGAAGTTCCAAGGTTTTTGGAAAACAGGGCCCTGGACTATTTCACATACTGCAAACAATGACAGCCTGGATGCCTTTGCATTTGCTCCTCTTGCTTCTTCATGACTCTTCTCCTGCTGTGCTCTCTCAGTTTTATGCTATTTGAAATGTTTTTGAATGCCACTTCTATTCAACTGCCAGACATTTATTGAACGCCCACTTATCTCGAGTGAACTTCACACTAATTAAGTTTTAAGAAACACATCCATCAAGCTATTGAGGCAGTTAATTTACTATTGCAGTGTGAATCTGAATTTCTTCTCAGGATGATACACACATTTCACACCAGACTGTGCTGTGCCTACACAAACTTGATTGAAAAATTTAAAAATAGTATGGCTTTAGTGACCTACTGTAGATGAATGGCACGTTCTTATTAATGCTAGTGTGTATATGTATAAAATGATTCAAATGAAGAAAAACTCTTTTTGTGCATGTCCACAAAAACATTGTGTATCTTAATATTTGTGCCATTCCTAATAGTACTCCCTTTATTTTATCTCACCCCTGTTCTGCCTTCCCTTTTGCATAATAAACCTCCACCCAATTTGTCATGAAATCCCTCATTTGCTGGATACTCAGAAAGCCAGATTATGCTTATTTTTCATTTGGACAGTGGGAGATGGAGCCAGGTGTTTGGCAGCAGCAGAGTGTTCAGGTGTAACTGTGCTGGTGACGGGACATGACGAGCACCCGCAGATGAAGGATGAGGCGTGGAGGATTTTGGGAAGAGGGGCACCCCACGACCTGGTCCCTCAAGACTACCCCCACTGATTGAAAGGAGGTAAAACTTTGTTTTGAATCACTTCTTGCTAGAATCAGCTCCTATTTCTTAATTAGCCAGTTAAAGCCATATTGGAAATACAGCTGTTAATTTGGGAGAAAAGAAGAGAGATTGTGCTTTGCTCAACAAGATTAATTCATGCCTCGTCAGGCAATAGTGATCTGATCTATAAAAAGTCTAATCAGTCAGCGTTGGCTGTCATCATATTAATGCTGAATAATATTGGTATAAAAGCTGTTGTGCTCTGGCATTTTATGAGTGTTATGTCTGCATCTCATTACATTAAAGAGCCCATGGCATGCTTTTCCTTGTTTTCTGACTTATCTACAATGTTACAACAGTGATTTATCAACTTAGACGTGACCTAAAGCTCAAAAAAATGAGGTGAACATATGTTCTAGTATTTCTATGCAGAAGCAACTCGGTTTATACAAGTCTTGCAAACTCTCGCTCGTGAGACTTTTTTTCTACCAAAATAAAGTATTATGTGAGACTTTAAGGATTTCCTTGAATGTGCATGAAGTCCAGGCCATTACACGTTCATGTGAGATTGCTTGACACCCACCGGTGGCCCTGCCATACTGGAAAAATGTTATTTTTGCCTTGTTTGTTATGTATGTTTTCAGTAAAGTTTATTAAAAAAAAAAGACATCCACCGCCATTGTAAAAGCAGAATTGTTCAACTGCGCCTGGTTTTGTGGATATATTTTTCCCTCCTCCTGCTGCACTGTGACCAGAGGATATGGAGAAAAATACAGGGCCTGAGGTTACTGCATGTCTGGGAATGTTCCTGTACAGGGACTCGCTGTTTTACCTGACTGGGTTTAACCTACAAGCAGCTGGCCAGTGGAGCCCCCCCTCGATGGTGAATGATCAGTTCATCAATGCTGGATTTCCACGGAGCACAGTACCTGTTTGGTTTGACTGCTTGAGGACAGTGTGTCTGCAGATTGTGATGTGTTGCAGGTAACACTGTCTAGCGTTTATGTGGCATTTTTAAGTTTGTTAAAGAAGTATCAAATAATGCCATCTTTTGAATGACCTTGTTGAAGTATGCACAGTGCTTGTGGTGCATGAAACAGGGAGGTAAGTCATAAAAACATCTCTTTGAAGAGTTTGGCCCTAAATCATATTAATTATTATTGATGCACATGATTTGAACTTACTGTCTTTTTACCACTAGTGGAACAGTGTTTGGCTGACTTTACTGTTTCTATGTCATGATCAACCAGCTCATGCATCACAAAGGGGTGATGTCATACACAATCAGCAGAAGCAATGTGGCAATAAAAGAGGAGGTCCGGAGGGCTATTTCACAAAAGCAAAACTAAGAAACCAAAGATAACAAGACAAGCAAGGCTTGACCTAGTCTGCAAAGTGGATCCTGGCTTAATACAGTATGTTTCACAAAGGCTATACCAGGTTGGGAAGGTGTGGCTTGGTGATGCCAGGTGTAATTAAGTTGGATGAATACAAGTTCACAGCTTTCTTCAACAGACCATGAGGTCGATCACACATTCACTGATTCTGATATAAAAGCTACATTCCATCTGACCATCCACATCATCATACTGTATATGTGGATGACTTAACGCGTTAAGTTGTCTATAAATACACATTTACTAACCACAGCATAAACCATGAAGATTAATTACAAACATTAATCTACAACCTAAAAGCATAAATATGGTTCATTCCACGAACGGTGGAATGTGAGTGATACCAATCTGGTGAAATTTGGCCTGTTCTTTCTTACATTCTTAAAACTTCTTGTCGTTTAACTTTTAAACTTGATAAATCCAGAACAAGTAGAGCTTAATGTAAAGGAATATTTTGAGTGACTGATGGGCCTATCTCTTTGATATTACTTTCACACTACTTGGCTATTCACACATTCACACACCAGTGTTATCACCAGGAACAACTGGGGGTTCAGTGTCTTGCTCAAGGACACTTCAACATGTTGACTGGACAAGCCGGGAATCAAACCGCTAATCCTCCAGTTAGGAAACAATTCACTCTACCTCCTGAGCCACAGCTGCCCCAGACATAAGTTCTCTAACCTTACAACAATTCTCTCTACAGAAAAAATACATTAACAGGCATTCAACATGATTTTTTTTTAAACTTACGGTTAGGTCCCACCGAGTAGTGGAAACGTCAAGGTCAATAAATCCAACTGGTGATCGCTGCGTTTTCCCCTACAAATCCCTCGCATTACAGATGATCACATACATTCCCAAGAGGTGACGCTGAACCGACAGTAACATCATGGATCGATAGAATCCTTTTGCCAACCTACAACACATCACGTGTGGCACATACACTGGCCTCAAGGAGTCAAAACAGACAGGTACTGTGCTCTGGTGGAATCCAGCATTGATCAGCTGATCATTAACCACTGCGGGGGGCTTCACTGTCCACATTAGACTTGCTCAGGTAAATCAGGAAGTCCCTGTACAGGAACATGCCGTAACCTCATGCCCTGTATTTTTTGCACATCCTCTGGTCAGAATGTGGGCAGCAGAGGGTAAAATATATTCACAAAATCCATGTTCAATCGAAATAATCCCACTTTAAATATGACAACGGTGGATGTTAGGCAAGCTCATATGAATGCACACAGTCAGGAGATTATGACCATTTAAAAAAATCCCTGAAATACCGTGCATGACTTTACATGACTGGAAAAAAAAGTCTCACCAGTGAGAATTCGTAAGACTTGTATAAACAAGTTGCTTGTTACAACATAGGTGCTGTTGCAGTACTTAAGCATGGCATTGGTGTGTCCTCGTCGCCAGATGATTTCTCTTCATTCTGACGGTAGCTTCGCGTATGGTACCTGCTCCATCCCCATGTCTTCCAACGTC